ATTTTGTTCAATAATCTAACAAGGTTTGTTAAAGTCTTTTGCTTGAAAATAATTTCGGTGTTATTGAATTGAAAAAGAAAGGTCAAAGAATGGGGATTTAAATCTGTAAATTGAACAGGTGAAGTTTATACAAGCTGCCTTGCAAACAAGTGATAAAGAAGTCCCCTACTTTTTATATTCTTCCCCATACTACTTAATTTATATTACTGAAATACAGCTTTTCAAAAATGAACAGTTCATACTGTTTGTTTTGTTTACAGATGTAACATGGCCATTTTTGTCCTAATAAATTTCAAAAGTAAATCACATGAGCGTGTTTTTTCGAAGGTCAATATATAAGTTTGTTCTTTATATTCCTGATAGATTAACCAATTGCATTTAGATATAGATTCTTTCGTTTGCTGACAGATTCATGGTTTGGATAACACAATGCGGTTTTGCAAGTATTTTATGATTGAAAGTTCAATAATTGGATGCCACTGGTGATAAATCCTGTGCCTAGTTTATGCGCTTTCTAGCAGTCATTAGGAGTGTGTATACCTAATTGCACCCTAATCGACATAATTCTAATCATTTGAAGCGATATCACTCACCACTACAGTCAAAAGCTTTTTATTGGAGCTATTTTAACCATGATCAACGTTTTGTAAGATTATATTAAATGATGTCATATTTAGGAAAAGATTTTTTCTATGGTGTATGTGTTTTTAGCACTATATATCAACATGTCAAAAGAAGCTATAAATGTGTGAAACATACTTCCGTAATTATTATTTATTGATACTTGTAATTCGCCGTTGTGATACTGGATCGAATTGATCTGCCTCTGTTGGCATATGGGTTCATACGTGTATGCCTCTATATTACCTGAATATTTATTGTTATAACTGAATTGGTTGTGGTTAGCAATGGATCCCCAGACGCGCTTTTCTTCCAATTTGGGACTCGTCAGCTGGATGTACCTGAACCTCACTGAGTGATGTTGTCTCCACTGAGACTAGAACCAATTACCTATCAATTCAAATGCCAGATAGTTATCCACAAGGTCACTGGGGTACAACATCCACCCCTTATGCAATGGGTACCAGTTATTATTATTATTAGGCATGCAGTATGCACTATTTTTTACATTACTTCAGGAACTACTTATACAACACTTGGATAAAGTATATTTTGTTGATAGGACTACTTGAGATTGCTATGGTTTGGTGGACTGGTATTACTCATACAGGTTGGTGACTAAAGGTGATAGGATTCAAATCAGTGGCCTCTAAGTTATCGGCTTGGAGCTCTTCCATCGGAGTTACAACCCCAGTTGCTGGCCGACAATCCGGAGGCCGTTGGCTCGAATCCCACAGCGAGAAGATTTTTAATTTCATTATCAATCATTGCCTCCTGTTACAATATTTTTTTCGAAATGTATATACGGTAAATCACCATCAAAACTCAACAGCCAATTCTTGTGGGACGGGTATAGTTTTCAGACCGTTACTATACAACATCACTCACTACACGGCAGGCACATCCAACTGACGACTCCCAAACAGGATGAGACGTGTGTCCTGGATTCCACTGCTGGCCACTATCTATCATTATTATCAGACCAAAATTTTGGGCATTGTCGAGGCATCCGCGCATGAGCCCATATGCTAATGGAGACCTATCATTTCGATCTAATCAACGACGGGAAATTTCAAGCATTAACATCGACATATTTTACTACTAGTTGGGAATAATTTGACGACTAACCTTGATGACCAGTTGAAAGATAAATAAAACTACTGAAGATAAACTAATAGTACTTGGTACGTTTTCTTAGGTGGCTATGGGAAAAAAGACAATCTTTATCAGAGATTGATGTTAACTTGGAGATTATTTAGAACTCAGGAACGCTGAACAGGTAATTCTTTTTACCTTTTAGCTTTTTAACATATGCATCTCAAATCTTAATATTCGCCATTGGAATCTTCCTCCAGTTAATAGGTAATAGTATCTGCACTATAAGGACTTAAGATTCAAAGATCCTTCATGCAAGAAATAAAGATTGTATTTGTCTTAAGAATTAGTTCTAAAATGTGGTGGTAGGGTGACCGGTGTCTCTTGTCACCCAGGTTTACAGCTGGATATTTTTTATCTGATGTTAATCTATGATTAAAATTACTCTTTATTATGTTTCGTGACCTGTCTTAAAATTTATTTGAAATTCTTAGTTCCAGACAATCATGTCTGTTGTTTTGCTATTGAAGTATGTAGTGTACAAACCTTTTCAAGATGACCGACCTTAATGAAAAGTGAGCATGCTTAATAAGTTAATTTTGACGAACTTTTCCTGAGGAGGGGGAATTAGCATACGAACACTTATTTTCATAAAGTATTTCTTATTGTTGATGTTATCATACTTAGAAATCACTATTTGATACAAATATGTAGTTTTACTGATGTTGGATGTCAATAAGTTTCGGAAATTATCTTACAAAAACATTTCAGAGCTGCTTCTAGTACTTTCCTATACCGGTCAAACAAATAACCAAGGATAATGGATGACTGTAAGATATCTGTTGTATTCTGTTTTTCAGTTCTGCAGACACATCATCATAGCCAAAATGAGCATCATTATTATTTGTTGTACTGTCTGCAAACCTTCGACTTTGAACAACTGAATTGAACCTCTTTTGACGGTATTTTCAAACTTAATTTAAGACCTCTTGGGTGCTGTTAACATAAAGAGATACTCAGTACGTTCGAGTTAAATAATACTGATGACTGGTAATCGGCTTGTGGGTTTCAAAATAATATGTTCTTCACCGCTTAGTTGTGGCTAGCGGAGGGATCCAGGACACGCGTTTCATCTTATATGGGGGTCCTCAGCTGAATTTACCTGGACCTCAGTGAGTGTTGTTCTCACTGAGACCTTAACCTCATACCCATTGCTTCAAACTGCCATAATAAATATTCAGGCAGTATCGAAACACCCGCATAGGAGCCCATATGCCAACAGAGGTCGAACAATTCGATTCTGTAAAACAATGGAGAGTTACAAGTATATTAACAAATAGTCGCCATCACCAGTTTAGAGGGTTCTGGCTGATTATCAATTGAGAGTTATGATACATAATGAAATGAGAGCTTTTTGGAGTTCCTCGGTTTTTAGTGGTTTACTAACTGTCAAATGGTAAGGTTGACAGTTTACCTTCCGTTAGATTTGAACTATCTATGAAAATACAGTTTAATAACTTTCACACTGCAGTCTATTCTAAAATGAAAGTGTCGTCACTGATGTCCTGTTATCTGAATTATCATAAATTTGGCAATAAGATATTAGATCGAAAGTGTCTTAGTGAAAGGAAGTGTAATTTTAGCATACTTTTTTCCAAGTTATTATCAGATGGATTCAGAAAGAAACCTTTTAAGTGATGAGTCTGATTGGCAGAAAAGCTAAATAAGTAATGTGGAGGATTTAGGTCTAACTCTGGATTCACTATTTAAGTCAGGAAGAATACTAAAAAGGATCTGTTTCATGCAATGTACTACCTGTATGTTTGTTTTTATACACAAATTTGATGGTCTTAGTATGTATGGAAAATACAATTGTTTTAGTGTTTTCCGCTATCTCCTCTAAAAATAACTTCCTATTACCCTAATCACTTCATAGTTTAGTTAGTTTAAGACAATCCAATCTCAGATACCATACTTGTCCATTAACTTGAACTAAACTTCAGGACGTCAAAGTCAGAATCGGAAAAGCAAGACAGGCGTTCATTAACCTGAAACCAGTGTGGAGATCCTCTGCACTCAGCATAAGGGACAAGATCCGGATTTCCAACACCAACAACAAGTCAAGTCAGTGCTTCTGTTTGGTGGTTGAGAGACTTGGCGCGTCACGAAAGGTATTTCCAATAAACTACAGACATTCATCAACAACTGCTTACGCTCGCTGCTGAAGATCAGATGGCCAGAAAAAATAAGCAACAAGGAACTCTGGGAACGAACCAACCAAGAACCTATCACGCAACAAATATGCAGGAGGAGGTGGAGATGGATTGGCCATGCACTGAGAAGGCCGACGGAGGACATCACGCGTCAGGCCAGTTGCTCGAGTGGAATCCCCATGGGAAGCGACGAGTTGGACGTCCCAGCTGAGGGTGACATGGAGGAGGTCGTGCGAGGAGGAAATGAGAGATTGTGGGCTGTCGTGGGACCAGGCTGAAAAGATCTCAGAGAACAGAGGTCACTGGAGGCGTGCTACTGAAGCCCTATGTTCCACTAGGAACCCAAGGGACTAATAATATTAAAAAAAAACTTCAGTGAATAAAGTCAACAGTTGTTTCTACAATTATCTTCATTCTAATGATAAATAGTCTTAGCCACTTGAAGTGCCGATTATATACCTTACATTTACTAAGTAAGAAAGTGAATGGATCAATAGATTGAATAACAGCCATAAAGTGCAATTTTCGATATCACTAAAGTGCTAATTTGTCAGCGAGAATCTACTCAAATGTTAATTTGTAGTTATTTTAAAAAGGTACCAAATCTTTATAGGATAGGATTGTATGAAATGAAAAACATATTGACGGCGTAATTGGCTTAGTAGCGGCTAGACCTTATCACTGTATTTGGAATACTCATCTGAATGTACCCAAAACGCAGTGAATTTTAGTGTTCCCATTGACAATTGAAACCAGCACCCAGTACTCACCAGCCTAATGAATGACACTTTGGAATTTAAAATGGTGAGTGCTGAGTTCTAGCCACAGTAGGAAAACCAATAAACGATTTCAAATGTAATTAACTGGTGATTCTTGTTATCTACGATCAAACTAAAACTTCGATACAATTTACAGACATCGACTGAAGGAGACCACATACCATCAGAGACTAGTCGATTCACTTCAGTAAAACAGCTATAAATAGACATAATATTCACATTCAAACTGATGTACTTTGCTTTATCAGATATAATACCAGTAACTGTACTGATAAAAGAAATATTTACTCACCTTTTTGTTGTCAGCGCGTCAATCTAGATGTATCCAAAATATACGTAGGTTAAGCAAAAAGATAAGCACCCAATATAGAAATGTGTTCAGATCCTACACTATGAAATGATCTTTGATCATCACAATAATAAATTGGAGTTGAAAATGTTTCCGTGGTCAGCTGATTCACTATCTTCCCAAAAGTTGATTTTTAGCCAATCGTATTAACTGGTCATAGTTATACTAATATGTGCCTATGCGCACATACATCTACATCTAAATCTACACTGTGTTGTCATGCGAAATATCAATAAATTTTAGAACAGGCAGTATGACCTATTTTGTTTAAATTGCTGCTGTACGAAGGTCGCATAAATATAGTTGTGTGTAATGTGTATCTGACATATCATAGATATAAGAATAATTCATATATCTACATCAGAATGTATACAACGAATGAAGGAATTTTCTTTATCCCATATCTGTACACACAGATACAAATGTTAATGAAGTAATGTATCGTCTTGCTATAACGTTCCACATTCCATTGTGAATGTCACCATAAAAGCGTAATTTTATAAATATTTCCATTCTGTTATCTAATGTAAGACTTTATGGATGGAAATTTCAGAGAAAATTATCAAGGAGATACCGGTTAGTGTAGAGTAGGCAGTTCCCTAATTTTTATTGATTTCTTAAATAAAGCGAATAAAATAGAGAATAAAATTAACGTATTTATTATACTAGATTACTTACACTTAACCTGGTTCCTATTAGCTTGAAGGAAAAAGAAAAAGAAGTGAGGATACTCAAAGGTCATTCAAGCATCAACTGTAAAGTGCTTTAAGCATTATTCATTAATTTGTCAGTTTTTTAAACGTGACAGCTCCAGTAGTACTTATACGATATAATCACTCATAGAAGCTATTACTACATGTAAGTGGTATGTCTAAAAAGGTAGAATACTTCAGGATCGACAATTAGGTTAAATGTCTTTTGGTGTGGAGAAGAAAGTCAAGAAAGAAGGCAGTGTTGTTTTTGTGAAAACGGGCAAATAATCACTTGCCTTAAGATAAAGTGAAGGTGATCTTCATTTCATGACCCATACCAGTCAGTTATGGAATTATCACTCAAAGGAACCATTCTGGGGTTTGCAAGCTGTAACTCCAGATTAAACCAACAAAGTGACAGATCAGTCTACTGTGTGGTTGGATAAAATACTAGTCAAGCCATGTTAATTCTTAAGATTACTGGAATAACAAAAATAGTTTGTAGAATGATCCTGAACCTCATTATTATCTTTTAAAAACACAGGGAAGATTTGAGTACTTTGTAAGGTCTTCAGGACCTGTCATTTATTATGTGAGTGAGGAGATGCTAAGCTCCTGTTTGAAACATGAAGCATAAAGATAGTTTTTTTTGAGGAATGGGGATGTGTTTTAATATTTCTTCTCTAGGAATTATTAAACCTTCTTAGTCTTTTTCTCGTGCTGAACGTATTTCCCACCGGAAATCGTGGTGTGGCCATTGTTACCGTCTGCTTCTTCTTGCAATGTTGGGTGAGGTAGGTTCAGGCCAAAAAGAAGCTCGGGGTGGACAGATTAAAACATAGCATCACTGCATGAAGTCTTTGAATGTCGGTTTGAGCCACGTAGGAAGATGGAGACTAACAGGAAGAGGTCCATGTGACAACAGGAAACAATAGTTGGAGACTCTAGGTGATATGGTTCAGAATGGATGTCAGTGGCGCAGATGTATCCACACATGATCTTTGTCTTGAACATCATACTGAATTCAACACTTCCCCATTCTTCCTTCCTCTTTTTTACTACTTTCTACTGATTTTCAGTGATTCTTTTTCTATTTATTCATCCTTCTACTTTCTTACTTGTACTGATATGGAGCGTGGCAACTTGCCTCATTCTGCGGTAATGCCCGGTACTATGTTGCTATTGATTGATTCACTAAACCAACCGTACTAGATGACTTGAAGAAAAATTTGAACCTAAACCAAACTTTAGTCCTTAATATCTGTTGTAGACTATCCTACCCTTTTTCTTCAGTTATTAGTGCATATCATTATTCACTGTTTTGTTATTCATTTTCCATACTTCTAATCACCGTACATAAGGTGATATGTGAATTATAGGTGCTGATTATTGAGTGATACGGAGCTTATACCGTGAAGTTTAGGTTAGTTTCTTCAAGTTCTGCAATTTTCAGTGTATCAGTGAGGAAGTTGAGAACGTCCGTTAGCTTGTAAACGACTGACACTAGCCGACAAAATCCACTTAGAACCTCGCACAGGTGTGTACACTATCGATAACTGTTCAATGGGCGGAGACATAATTTGACTATGTTAATGGGATTAAACATGAGAGACTATTGGGTGTACCATCATTTGATAATATTAGATGGATACTTTGAATAAATATTGTATGATTAAAATTACAAGTAGAGAAAAAGATGATAACTATATACTGGCCATTGGAAGATAGCTCTTCTAGGCTTCATAGTTGTAAACACTCGTCAGCAAGACGTCTGTGCAATCTCAAAGGAAGTTATGTCCTTCATGAGACCGGAACCGGCGTTAACTAGGTATACAGTCAGAGACACTATCACTAAACCATTTAGGATGCAACATATCCCCTGCAGAACACGATCAGGTCCAGAACTTCCAGGTGATTGCCTCCATCCATCTAACATATGCATCAGTGCATCACGATGGTGGGCATTCTAGCTAGATTGCTACACTGCAAAATGATCGACAGAAATCGGTCACCATTTAAGACTCGATAACATAAAGTTGGTTACTTTCCAGTGACCAATTAGTGTAAAGAAAATGATGAACTTAAGTATTCAGAAGATCTGATCTGCCCCACAGTTCTGAAGTCTGGGCATCAGAATGCAAATTATGTTTACCTACCAAAATGGAAACAACAGGTTCTATGCAATACTTTAATAAATACGTTCAAAAATAACCATTTATTGAGTGTTCTTGTTGATGAGGGGAGCCAAAGAGAGGCCAGAGGGAAGTCTTTGAACCTAGTTGTGAATGATTTTCACCTGACTACATCGAATATGAGCTTAGATGTCGGTGTAATGAGTGGTTGCCATTCTCGACCTGAGATAGCCAAAGCTTGACAGATTTGTGCTTATATATATATATATATATATATATATATATATATATATATATATGTATATATATATGTAAAAGATTTGGAAAGAAAGGGTTGATTAAGGTAGGAATAAGTCAAGCGAGCTTCAAGCTACTGATCTGACGCTTTGTCAAATGAGTTACGAGTCTATATTGTCAATCATTTCTCAGTTTCACTTCAATGGCCCAGTGTTTTATCTAACTGTGTGAATGAGAAAAACACAACTATTCACAGTCTCTTTAATCAAATCCTATCATTTCACTTAAAATCAAGCTGAATTAATAGTGCAGAATTAGGAATTCACTTACTGGTGGTTAAAATCCTAGTTTGACCCAAGTTATGCGTTCATCTTAGTAGTTATCCATGAATACAATGGTAAGTATTCCACTAGTATGCACTGAAAGTCTGGTTAAAAATGGGTCCTTGGAAAGTTGACTGGTATCAGGACGCCCATGAAAGAGTTATCATAAGTATTTATTTCACTTAACGAATCATACTTATTGCATCAAAATACGTGCAAATACATATTTTCTTCCAAGTCTCCTGATACTTTTCATTTCATCGCACATATGCTAACAGATTGCGCACACTGTCGCGCTTATCGCGATTTGCAGATATACTGATATGATTTGCTGTTGTTAGGTGCCATAGGTAGCCATAAATCGATTTGTCAGAGTAATGGACAACTATGACATTCAGGGCAACCACAAAATAACTGACCGTCTTTAATAATGCTAATTTCAGTAATCTTTTAATGGTCCTAGAATGTGATAGTCTAGCCATATAAATCACATTTACTATCCGTCTATCATTCATCAAAGTGATGTCATCAATCGATATCAGCATATTTGGATTGAAGGGTGGGTGTGATAACACTTCAAAGAAATACGTTTTCCTAAACTTATCTCTTCTCAATGATACAATGGGTTTATTTCATTTACTGAAGTCTTGTGAGTCCTTCACGCTACTGAAAGAGATTCGGCAGTTTTTGTAGTATAATTCCAGGTTCAGCAAAGCGAAGGGTCTACTAATTTCCATCCACGGTTATATTGACACTAGCGGATATCCTAAGAAGTATTGCAAGTCGCTTGAAGGTTACGGAATTTAACCAACTGCCTGGACACTGTAAAGACCATCATTAAAACAACCTCAGACAAGAAAAATATGTATTTTGGTACGGAGAGAATATGTTTTAGATGACCTTCCTGAAAAATCAGAAATAGTTTTAGTTGGCTACACACATGGGCTTATCAAAAGAAATCAAATTACCAGAAAATTCATCGTTCGAAGGATATGAATAGATCTCATTCTCAGAAATGACAAAGTATTGTGGATATGACTGACAAGGTTGGATGAAAATTAATTAGTTCGTTCGAGTAGTTAAAATCACTATGACTGTTATCGCTTGAGTTTATTGAGCAGTTGAGACCAGGAAGTACTAATTTTTTAGTGAAAGCATTCTAATAGAACCAATTTTAGATATGCAAAGTTCACTACATTACACACTACCAAGATAACTTAATTATTAGAATCAGTGAGGAGGATTTTATGTAAAGGCAGTTTGGAAGATGTCTTTGAATTTGTAGATGTATTAAAGAACAAAAATATACCCAAAAATATGATGTTATCTCTATCTATCACATCACGATTTACAGACATTCCATTATTGAAAGCTATCAAACATGTGTGTAGAGTGACTGTGGTTAATAAATTGAGTGTAGGTTTACTGCTAAGTGGTTTAAAAGAATTCATATTAAACCAGTCAGCTTCTTTTCACCGACTGTCATTACCAGTAAATATATAGAGTAGCAGTGAACATTCCACTTGCACGCATAAACACTCATCTGCTTTTTCCAAAATTAGGAAACAACTCACTGAATCTCTAAGTAAATTCAATTAATATGCATAGTAGGTGGTCAGATGACATCTTCACTTCATGGGACCCACACGTTGATGCTGATGGCCTGATCATAAATTTTAGAAGAGCAAACTCAAGAATAAGACCTCCTTATGCATTTGAAATATCAAACAAGATTCTTTCCTTCGACGGTTTTTTAACCAAGTCTAACGAAGGAGGAATTATCTCAAGTATGCACGCGAAACCACTTTGGAGAGGACAGTATACACATTTTATCAGCTTCCTGCATGTATGGTAAAATGAAATTCGACAAACTGTTTAGTGGACAGGTTGCGAAGCATTTGCTCGCAAATACCGAGGCTTTAGATAGTCGGAAACAACATGTTCCCAAATATAGATATCCTGGTAGATGTTTCAGCAAAAATATTGTCAGTAAGACGAAAAAACATGTCACCTCCATCCATGGTGGAAACTTAATGTTTCACTTCATAAGAGATAATAGGGCTGACGTTCTCATGAATAGACTGGATTAGTCATTGAGGAGGATTCTCATCAGCCACTGTGAAGATAACCTTTATAACCAAACATACCCTACCACCATGGATAAAACATAACATTCTTCACCTGTCCACATCAATGTGCGTATATCTGTTCAACTACCCCTACGGCGTCATTTATCTTAGACGTTGTATAAAGGCTTTGACTCAACGTGTTACAAGACATCTGATGGTGTGGTTCATGAGATGCAAAAGGAAGAAAATTACCAGCTGTGTCTAACCACATCTAACCGATACTGGTCATCCTGTGAACAGTAAGTTAAACTTCCCAGTGTTTCTTAAGATGCCGAACACTACTACCGCAGGTGATATGACTTTATCTTGAGCCAAAAGGTGAGGCCATTCCCACTAGAGTAGGGAAACCAGAGCCGTGCTCATGAGGGGCTAAGATATTTTCTTGTTTTTCCCTGGCTACGCATTACCTTGGATATAAACGATCCAGTTACAAACTTTCACAGCGATATACATATGACTATGTGGACTGTTTGTAGCTTTTGTAAGTATGTGCTTCCAACTCTTTGTAATAATTCTTATGTTACAATTTTTAATCGGTTTCTGCCTACTATTTATGAGTTACCATTATGCTTTCAATCTTCTGAGGATTACTTGCTTTCTTAGGCCGTTTAGTAATTTTATACGTGTTTATGTCTCTATCCTAATATTGCAAGATCACTTTTGAAAAAGACAAACTAGTCCACAACTTTATTCTCAGAAGCTAACAAATTCTTCATCTAGCCGTCATACCTCACATTATTCATACCATTCCATATACATACATTTCACTTGTAAAAATGTTGTATTCAAATATTAAGCATGATGACACAAACAAAACCACATGTTTGCTCAAAGTTTATCTGTTTTCAGTAGTACTTCGATTTGTAACCTCATCTGTGTTCTCCTGTTTATTCACCAGAGGCTTATACTGCTTTCGGCATGGCAATGAGTAAATTCAGAGATTCAGTAAATCTTGGTGTTTTTTATGCCTAATTTATCTTATTGTATAAATAAGTTTAAATGTAATCGCAGCGTGTTTAGAAAACCAAAACAAGATTTTTATGAACGTGAATGTGTATGTCACAGCCTCCTCAGCAGAATATCTAGATTTTTGTCATACAAAAATAAAAACCTAAGTATTCTGTTGGAGAAGTTACAGCATATGCAGCGAAATATTCATAGTAATCTTGTTTTATTTTTCCAAGCACATTATATTAGTGTTTGTTTCAATAATGATTAAATCAGATTCTTTCAGAAAATTCCTAACAGCCACGCACTTTATGTTGCAAACATACAGAACGCACAAGTGTTCTGTTTTTCAGGTAGAAATAAAATACTAGTTTAATTAGGTCTTAAGGTTGAAATTTATTGTTTTCATGCGATTCCGTGGATTTTAACAACATCATCATTACTCTCGGGAATATCTTTTCCGCTCAACCAAACACCCACATACTGAACAAATAAGTCCTGAATACTATGAAGTCCTTCCCAAGGAAAGAAGAAAGATTATTTCAGATTGCAACAGTTACTACCTTATAAGGTTTTTGGTGCAAAATAACAAACAGATAATGAGTCATGAGTTAATATTATGCGGTTAGTTGACCTTAAGTTTTCACAGGCACTGATGAATGCCGCTGGCTGTCATTTCTTTGGTGAGAGAAATCATCTTCTATATTAAGAAAATATCGACCTTCTTCTATTGCTTGTCATCATTCAACATATTACTGAACTTGTCTCCTATGCCGCTATATTCTTCCTTCTTGTTTTCTGAGTTGGTACAAGTCAAGTTCTACTTGAATATTCATAAGGTAAATTATAACCTAATCTTATTAGTTGTCATCCTGCACGCATGTTAACAAGAGCTTAGTACAGAGGGTGAGGTGAATCCACATAGATTGAGGGATATGAAAGATAATAGTTACCAGACAGACATTATTGAGGACTTAAGTAAACACTGGTGGGAAGTCCGATACTAAGCAGAAACAGCTTTTCAGTGCTCCCAAGTTTTCAGTGGTTCTCTGGTTGTTGTCGGTCCATGACAAATACCAATACAGAAGACTGGGGTGTTATTCCCTTGGGATTATGAAGTACTTCTAAAGATTATCAACAAAATTTATTTGCTTTGATGGGAGTCTTCATAATAAGGAGATAATACAGATATTTATTCATGACAGAAAACAGTGATGCTACAACTAGTACTTTCGTCCGGTTTTCAAAAATGCTGCTGAAAATTGCAGTCTTCAAAGCTACGATGGAGCTTAAATTCTACCATGACTGCAAGAATACCTATCTAATGACCTAGAAAACATAAAAGCCCAATATAAAGCTTTCTTCTTGATTGCCTCCTGTCATTGTGCACCACTTTCGCTGCAGTACTAGGAAAAGCCAATTAGTCCATTGAAAGGTACATTTCTACCATTCCTAGCCTCCATATTTGGTTTTTCTTTCACTTGTAGTAATAATAAAACGTTGATAAACAATGAATAAAAACACATATGATGATATTCATTTGCACATCCTTAGTTAGACTAAATAAAACACGGAATTCCCATTTAGGAGAGGGAAGGTAGGAAAAAGAAGTTGAAGAAAGCTGCATAAAAATAAGGAATTTCGGGCTCTGATACTGACCACTACAGATAATTTATATTAATAAGTGACCAGTTAATGTATAGTCTAACCTAAAATGCCACACAAAACCTTAATGTGTCCATTTTCCTTTCAGATTTCCTTCTAGCCTTCGTTAAAAAGGTTTGTCTAAGTCGATTTTTGTATTTCTTTGTTTATATATAGACTGTGTTCCTCTCATCTCTATCCTTTGCTTTCTAATTTTAGTCAAGAATACAAAACTCAGACTCATAAATATAGGCAACCGGCTATTTAAATCGTTTTATCGTTTAGCTAAAACAACATACAGAGGGACTGTAAACACACGGAATGAGAGATATACATTTGGCAGACAAATATAAAATTAGTGGACAGTTACGACATAAGCAAAATCAATCTTTACAACTTTGTCCTGGTGCAGACTCTCAAAGAAATGATCAACAGGTTTCCGTTTCAATGATGCCATAAAATAAGGTAACGAACTATGTTGAATTGACACTAGTATTTGGTTCTACAACGTTCAGCCCAGTAATTTGAGAAAATAACTTTTGATTTAATTGAGCTATAACATACTATTTTTCAGGGTTTCCACCTGTACATTAGTAATCTACTGAATAATAACAGGTACTACGTATCAACTAGAGTAAAAGTGCTTAGACTCCTCAAAACTATCCCATTTAAGTCATTACTATTACTACAAAAATAACTTTTTGATTGTCCCTAATGGTGTCAAACATATTTCACAGTAACAGAAGTCTGTTTCGAGATAGTCATGGATATCTGTAGCCCATGAAATGTTTTACGATTCAATCCTCTCGGTGATGACAAGGTGTGGAGTCAAGGACACATACGTCCTACAAATTGGGACTTCTCAGATGGTTGTATCTCAGTGAAGCCGTTACCCAGTACCTCTCAATTCAAACGTCACAGAGTTATCTGCTAGACTGCTTAGCCATAACATCCACCTCTTCTGTAACGTGTATCAGTTGTTATTCCTTGATACTTTTATTTTCATATCTAAGTAACGTGGGCTAAATTCGAATCTCGACAGAAACAAAATCATTCCCTGGGATTCACATACATCTGGTCAAGGAGTACAAAACAAAGTTTACACTGCCATACTAGTCATATTCAGTGCGGCTTCTACTGGGAAGCCTATTGTTAAACCGACTGCTTTTCATTCAACTTAATATGCGCAAAGAAGTCTTGAAAATGGATGAATTACTATTAGAGTTGATTAGAGGTCATTTCTAAAAATATTGGATTGGCTGACATGGAGTGGAATTTCAGTAACAATTTATTGAGTATCACAATTTAATTTTTTATTGTTTGAGCCAACTGGATCCATTTCTTAAGTTTAAGGAGGTAACAACAAGACGTAAGTCATTTAAATCATGAAGTCCAGTTGTACAGAAGATTCTGAACAATCCTGTCATTTTCAGAGGTCATAATTATTAATGTAAACGATGATAAAAGTCAAGAAATTAGAAAATAGAAAGACATCAGATAATATGACTGAGTTGAAGATCAAAATGTTTTTACATCGAAAATCTCTTGAGATGTTTGATGATTTGCACGGTCATCAAATGATTTTGCATGATAAACAGAATGTGAATGGAAATAACAAATTTTATTAACTGATACTTAATGCATAATTTAGAAATGTGTTCTTGGGATTCTATTCATAGTAGCTATGGATGCCTGATCAAAGGTTATCAACTATTGGTACCACTTACTATAATATCTATAACTGTAAAATCTATGAAATCCCCACTGAAGTAAAGAAAACTGTTTAGAATTTTTCATATCTAATCTATAGACAAAAGAATAGTACCCGCAGGTTGAAAACAATTAACGTATTAACTACTTACTGGATAAAATCCATGCCACATACTTATGGGGGAGCTTGGGAATCTATCTTGCCTTGCATTTAGCTATCATGTAACAATTCTCATTCATTGAAATTGCTAACTACAAAGAATGTTCCAATCTTTTAGACAACTTGTACTTACTAAATACTAATTTCGAAAATGAAAGCAAACAAACTACCTTAAGTAATGTTGCTCGTTCACGCAAATACTGATCAACAAAGTTTCAAAATAGTTTTTGTTTGATTTCATTGACTTAATTAACATTTCTTATAATTGAGGTAGCATTCACCACTGACTGACATCAGTTAGAGAACTGTTAAAACCTGGAGCACTGGACAGGTGTTTCTTATGCCCTCAAGTAATGTTGTGCGTAGAACCATCTAACTTCAGTTTATCGATTCTTCGTTAAACCTTGTCATATCTTTCACCAGTGCTTCCTAAATCCTTTGAATTCACTGTATGATAGTCTTTTGTTAATATTATAGAAGTATTCCATTGTGACACATTTGGTTTTTGAAAGTTTCTAGCCTACTGGATCTTTAAGCCACTTTAAATTACTACTCTGACAATGGATGGTAACTTGAGTCATAATTTGGTGGTGAGAACCTCTGCAAGTCTATCACCAAGCCCAAAATGTGGTCATTTTGCCAAGTGAGGTAATAATATGTGGCGCGTATATGTTGACTGTGAATAGATGACAACAGTTTACTGAAGTCCTATGTCCAACAATCCATAAATACCCTGTAGTTTGAAGGAGCCTCAAGAGTTCCTGTTAATCGTTCTTAGCCATCCAGCACATAATCAGGCTTTTAATATTTTCAGTCTGCCACTGAGACTCAAACCTTGTATTTATCGTTTTAAACTCCAGGTGGTCATCCACCGGACCACTGAGGCATGATAGCCACCTCTTATACAACCGGTATTAGTGATAAATATTTGTAAATTCCCATATAAAATATACTGTATTACAGAGAATTACAAGTATTTCGATAAATATTAATAACTAATACCCGTTGTATAGACGGTGGCTATCGTGCCTCAGAGGCCTGGTGAGTAACGACTTGGAGTTTAAAGCGATGGGTGCGAGGTTTGAGTCTCAGTGGGGACATCATTCACTAAGCTGTAGGTACACCCAGCTGACGAGTCCCAGATATGACGAAACAAGCGTCTTGGATTCTTTTGCCAGTCGCAACCACTTATCATTTTTATTTTTCCTTGAGTTCCTAGTGGAATATAGGGATTCAGTAGCACGTCGCAATTACACTCTTCTCTGCAGTCTTTTGGACCTGGCGCTACGACTTCCCACAAGCTTTTATTCCCTACTCACATCATCTCCTCCACGTCATCCTTGGCTCGGACGCCCAACTCGTCGTTTCCCCTTTGGATTCCACTCGAGGGCCTGGTGAATGATGTCTCCGAATGGTCTTCTCAGTGTATACCCAATCCAATCCATCTCCACTTTCTTCTTCTGCATATTTGTTGAGCGATAGGTCCTTGCTTTGTTGGTCTGTTTCCTCGCCAGAGTTCCTTGTTGCTTATTTTTCCTGGCTATCTGATCTTCAGTATCGAGACAGAGTAGGCAGCCGTTGATGAATGTCTGTAGTTTTTTGGAAATGCTTTTCGTGACACGCCAAGTTTCTGGACAATCACATAACACAACTGACTTGACGTTGGTGTTGAAAATCCGGATCTTGTTCCCCATGCTGATTGCAGTAGATCTCCACATTGATTTATAATTAATGAAGGCCTGTCTTGCTGTCTTTCCGATCCTGGTTTTGATACCCTGGTGTGTGCCGCCGCCTGTAGTTGAAACGATGCTGCCTGCCTAGGTAGGTAAGCGAGACTACTTCGTTTAGGTTTCTCCGGTTAATGGTGACTGGAGCTTGTAGTTGATGCTGTTGTTGGTTGAGTATCTTCATCACCTCTGTCTTCTCTACATTCACTTGAAGCCCCTATTTTACTGCTTTTCCCGTCAACTTGTTAGTTTTTGCCTGTAGATCTTCGAGTTTGTGCTACAAGACATTGGACATAAATCATCGGTGAAACCCAAATCTTCTAGTATCTTTTAATCGGTTCAGCCAGCGTATACCTATCTTCTCGCTCTTTATGGTTTGCTGCATGGCCCAGTCCAGCCAACCACAATCAGGAAGATCATCGGTCATAGTAGGTGGGAACCTTGTCTTACTCCTTTTTTTCTGTTCAAAAGCATCACCGAGTTTTCCACTGTCAATCCCTTGGCATGTGGCGTTTTCATATAGCTGTTGAATGAGGTTGATAAGGATTTGTGGCACTAAAACCGTAGTGTTGAAGCAACCGCCAAATTACTTCTTAGTCGACGCTGTCAAAAGTCTTTTCAAAGTCGATGAAGTTGAGGTAGAGCTGAGTTAATTACCGTCCTATACTTTGTTCAGTGATGATTCGTAGCGTTGCAACTTGATCGGTACATGATTTGTTCTTCCTGAAGCCAGCCAGCCAGCCTGTTCCAGTGGTAATTTTGAATCCAGTACATCTTTTAGTCTCTCCAGGATGATATGGCTGAATATTTTGCTTCGGGTGGACAGGGGTGGAGCATGATTCCTCGCCAGTTCTTGCAAAGACTTAGGTCTCCCTTCTTTGGAAGTAGATTATTAACTCTTCAGTTAAGAGTTTGGAGAGTCCACTTCCATTCCATCTACTTTGGCAGATTTCAAACACTTCCATGCCATATCTCCTCATCTCTTTCGTAATCTGAGCAGCCTTGCCAGCTAAGTTGGTACATGGTGCGGACATTCCATATCCCTATGCCTACTTTCGCTTTCATCGATGGGGAGAAGACACATCGGCCGACTGGCTTCCTGTAGGCTTTCAGCGACCGGCGTCATTTCGTCTCCCCGATTCCAGCGAGGAATAGGTTTGTTTTTGTGTTTTATATTTTCTTTGTGCTTTGAAGTTTCTTTGTTGATTGGATTGGTTTTCTTTTTTAGGGCTGCTAGCCCTATGCCCAACCTTTCCTCTTTATCCGGGCTTAGGACCGGCTAGTAACTAGTCAACTAGTTAACCAGGTGAGGTGTAGCCGCAACCAAATAAAGTACAATTTGCGGATATATAAATTGACTCAATAAATCTCATTGTCAAATAGAAGATAAACATACGATTGTCATGAGAGATCACATTCATATCTTGAAACGATAACTAGAAGGTCATCAATATAGTGTTCTCCATTCGTGAATGTTGTTGCAAGTTTGTTTATGAATTGTTCAATAAAGGGATTAGGTAAGGTGAATCGACAGTTCATTTAAATCAGCTGACCCAGGACAGTGTCCACAGTTATAATTAAAAAGAATTCTGCATTATTTGTATGAAAATGTTACAACTTGATGACGGTTATTCACAGTGCTTTCATTGGTGATAAACGGACAGATTGTAAGAATCAGTTTAGGTTAAAAAAAGCATTAAAATAAGTAAGGTACAACTTTCTAGGAAATATGTGAAGTTATATCAAAACGGTGAATAATAAGTTGTTAGCCTCTAAAAGTGATGTCGATTTATATAAGATCAGCTGATATTTCAATTACATCTTTTGGTAACCACTGGTTCACTTCGATTGGCATACAAATATTTTGATACTACATTGACCTTCATTTTTCTGTTTCTTTTCTATTCTTCTGGTTTCTGAAACGCTTATTTCATCCTCTTTGTTAGTTGTTAGTTTTACTTACCTGGATTCCAAAGGCTCTTGGTGTTCAAACTGAGAGATGAGATAAACAGACGGCTTCAAAGGTTAGTTCATAACATTGACAATTTATCTGTACAAGGCACTGATATTCATCAACAGAATTCCATCTGTTCAGACCAATGAAATGAGCATTTACAGATTCCGTAGTTAGAGCAGAGACGAACACTTCTCTTGTAGCTTTCATGAAATTTGGTAGCCCTTTATCCTTACTTTGACTACTGTGCGATTTTTTTGCTAAAGTGCTGTTATCTGAACAACATAGTAAGCACTACACCGAATAGTTCGCTTCTTTTATCTAAAATTCTTTACTAGTCCTCATAATTCACATTCAGTGCACCGAACACAAGCCGAATTAGTGAGAGGAAACCAACTTAGGGTATAAAAAATTGTATCGATTTGCTTACTGAGATGAGGAGTGTATAAATCCTATATCAAAGGTTATGTACAGCAAAGGACGATAGCCAAGTAAGTTTTGATACCGATTATGTTCGTAAAACTGATGAATATATTCAGGTTAGTGTATCAGCCAAGACACTTTTGTCATCCAAACGATATATTTATAGTTGGCATAGTGTGGGACTGAGATCATATACTTTCAAAAACATATCCAAATTTCAAGGTTCTTATTTCACAAGGTTTTCAAGATAGTCTATCAGTTTCACTTCAGCATTTGTCAACGAATCTTCTTCAGTTATTCAAAATTTGTTGTTTACAACATCGATGGCAGAATGATCATTTCTACAAACTCTAAAGACATACAGATGTTGATAATATTGCTAAATAATAACAAACATCTGCAGAAAAACCGTTTGACATTATTAAGTTAGGCTATACTCTGCTGTCAGCTATTACACAATTGGATACGGTGGACTAGTATAGTCGTTTCATGTCGTAAATAAAGATTTTTAAAAGCTGAAAGTACCAAACCTTTCTTACTTACAATTCCTATCTCGTGCTCGATATATTGTCTGTCAGTCAGTACGCTCATGAATGAACTGAGAACCAGTAAACAAGTTTGATTCACGCTAAGTAGAAGTTTTAGCGAATGAAAATTTACATTTCGTTGAATAGCAACAATGGTGAATATACCATTGTTAATTGGATCGGAATTGGTGCCGAAAAATTAAAACAAAAATTAAGATGACAGGGAATAAATCGAGGCAAAATTTAGGAATCATATAAAAGCACTTTTCATAAATATTATCAAGGATATACACAAAGTATGCATTACTATTAATATTCCTATTCATTTTACTTTCATCCCCCTTATCAAATAATTGATAAGTTCAAGAAAGGAGTATCATAAAATCATTCATGAATTCATTCGTTTCATATTGTAAAATTGAATATTGTTTAAAATTATCTGTCATTTAAAAATTATGATCTTGATCATTGAAGACTTAAATTACCGAAAATTTGAATATGAGTTTTATTGGTCAGGAAGTAAGACTAAAAATAGTTGACACGAATTTGAGACTCCTTCATTCTTAATTTTCTCATTTATAATTTAATTATCTGAATGTTCTTCAGCAATGCGTCTAGCGATAATGATTTCCACTTGAATTAGACGATATTTAATCATTTCTCGTAAATCATTAATATATCTCCAGCGAATTGGAAGTATCTTATAGTAAGGTGTATGTTCTCCGCGTATATTAAAACGGTATGTATGAAGTTGAGGTCTAGCATATATATGCACACCAGACTCAGGTACTCTCAGCTGTAGGAATACAAAAGAGAATACTTTACGTCCTATTCCAGGACTGTTTTCTTTAATTAAACGAAAAGTGATATCACCATTCCAATTAGGAGTTGATATAGGTGATACACGAGGAGATATCATATGTTCATATATTGGTATATTAGATTGTTCAAGATTTTCTGTACATGTAAAGGAATGATTTTGTGTACCACTGAATGATCTTTGATATGGATGATGTCTTGAAAAGACACAAGAATGATTTCTACGTCGTCGTATTGCTGATGGTGTAAGAGATTGTTGTTGTTGATGATGATGATTATGATCTGTAACTTCATCTATTGAACATTCATTCTGTTCAATATTTGTTGAAGGCAAACTTAGGTTACTTGTTGTTAAATCAGTTTGAATTGTAGATTGTTCTGATGTATATGGTTGACTGATATTATCATGATGATTAGATGGTGTTTGTTCTGGTGTGAATTTAACTAAAGCTTCCACAGTCCATCTTGACTGGTTTAAATGAAAATTGTCACTACGATACAATATGTCTGTTTCATTTACATTAATACTAGATAGTGTAACTGAAATAGTTTGTAATTCATGTGCTTCTAAATGATGTAATACAGTTGAAAAGCACTGAAATGTTTCACGCATTGATTGTTCTCTAATGTGAAAACTATTTAATAATGTATCTAGATGATCGCCTATCGGTTGTTCTAACAACCGTTTACGCATCATACATTCATTTTGATGATTTTGATGATACTGTTCAGCACTACCAATCCAGTCACAACCAAACGGTGATAAACCACAAGCAACACGTCGTTTTGGACATAAATTAAGACGATGATTTGTTAAAGATTTATGTAACATTGGTGTTTTACAATCACTACAAGTATCTGGTAATTCAGATAAAACCTTTTGTGCAATTAATGCACGTCGCGTATCTGAGTATAAATTAGCTCTGCACGTTGGACATTGTGGTCTTTCATCTTGTCTTAGTGTTAAAAAACAATTTTGGCATATTAAATGTCCATTCATACACTCTTTCATTAATGTATCACTTGTATAGCATGCACAACAAGAGATTACTTCACGTATTGCCTTTATAACACGTGTATATTTATATTCGTTTGAGTTATCAGTAGTATAGTCATTCAATGTATTCAATAAATTTAAATATGATTCATCTGTATATGACATAGTTGAATTTTGCATAGTAAATTCATTTGATTGATCAGATATAATTGAATTATTGACAGGTGTAGTTGATGAATTCGATTCATTTGTATGCTGATGCTGTTGATGATAATGATGATGGTGATGATGAAGATTAGTATGTTGTTCTTCGTCTAATCGACTGACAGATGAGTGATGATTATGTGGAGTACTTCCATCATGGATATGCGGATTTATGGAATGCGTATTAGGAAACGGTCGACGTACTCTACGCATTTGTTAAAAAATGAATAAATTTCTTTGTTAACTAAAAGGCTGATTAATGACTAATGAATAAATGCTTTAATAATTTTAAATTGTTAAAAATCAATAAAATCAAGCTTCATTATTGATTTATTCCAGATGGCATATTCATTATATAGTAATGTTAAATAAAGTGCATAACTTTTGCTTAGCTGCCTGATAATTAGATATGTTAATGGAATTTCGTCTTTAAAGCTGCCTTATTCAGTGAAGTTTTTAAAGTTTTGAAACTGGTACTTTTATCCTCATTAATTTAATCAGCACATGAAAGTGTATTAGAAACTCATAAGAGGAACTTGGTAGAAATTATCTACAAAATCTCCAGCTGTCCTCGAGAGATTTACCAAGTTAGTTAATACTTACTAGTCAGCTGAAATATCTTGTGACTTCGCTGGAAACTGAAAAAATATTCTAGTAAATGAAACCTAAAGCTATGTACCATGCTTTAAAATGAAGTACATTCATCATATAGTTATTGGTCTGAGTGAACCGTTAAATAATTTATTTATCTGATGTTGTGGTTGATATGGTCCGTAATACTTTAATGAAATATCCTCCAGGAATTCATGTGATTAAAGTCTAGATAATGAAATATATTAGTAGTCTGATGTGATTATATTTGACCAGTCATACAAGAATTCTTGTTCAATTGAAGTCCACTTTAGTGTTTCACCTCCACCAGCACTGATATTCAGTCAACAAGGACTAGAATAAGGTCATCGTCGCCACTTATTTTCAAGAATTGCGATTAAGACAATCCCGAGAGATAAACGCGTATCATATGATTGACGTTTAGTCACGTGGATCCTAGAAATACAGAGTGAGAAGAGAGCCAAACACTGAAAAAATTTATGCTGGAAGGATCGTTTAGATGACGCACGCAGAAAATGAGGTGAAGAGAGTTTAGTGTTGTGTTTTTCGGAACAATGCTCTACTAAGTTTCAATGGAACCGAGAACCCCGTAAAATAGTTCAAATACCATGTTGTGGTGAAGAATATCATGCTCACTGAAAGCGTATTTGATGAAAACAGTAAGATTCCTCGTTAGGAAAACAGGTACGAGAATGTATTGTATTTTTGGCTCAAAATACCCGTCAGGCTGAATTAATGATACGTTGTGATATTAGTAAAACACCCAGGAGAAACTGAAACCACTTGCAGAGTGTCAGATGGACAAATCAAAGTTGAACCTTGTACACAAGCGCATTGGCTCAATTTGCCACACTTCGCAGTTGTATACAAAGAATGAATGAACGGAAAAATACCAGTATCAAAATAGACAAAGTTATGTGAGAGAATAAGCTATTTGAAGATAACGTTGGTGAGAATATTCGAACTTTAGACGTCAGGGAGCCAACAAATCTGCACCATTGTGACTGATTTTCATCTGTTTCATCAACAGTCCTCAACATTTAATTCCTATGGTCCTCCGCTTCTCAGCTAGGCAATCTAAAACTCCTAACACGACTCAGACCAACAGTGAGAGGCTTCATTGGCTGCTTTCCCGTCTCAGTTTTTTCACTCTGTTTTCTTCCAACCTAATCCCTTACATGCTTAAGCCACTTCAGTCGATAAAGCTTCACAACCTCATAATTCAGCTCGCCTGTTTTGCCACCTAGTACCCTTAGCCTGACCTCAACATTATTCACACAGTGATTCCACTATACGCGATCAATGCTACAAAGACGTCTGTGATCGAAACCCTGTAGCCGCTTCATATCTTCTACTTTCAGTGGCCATATATCACAGTCGTGTAATATTACAGAAGGAACTGCAGTGCGGTATACTCGTCCCTTGGTAGGTATTTGAGTATCTCGACATTTGGAGCCGACTGAACTCCAGCTGAGATTTCATTAGCAATCGTAAAGTCTGAAAAGCATTATAGCTGGTCATACTGTTTAACATGAGCTGGTCAAATACCAAACATTGTTCAGCCTACAGCACAACTGATTACAATAAACTTTGAGTTTTCTTTATGATATAAACTTTTCGTAGAACGTTCGCGTCTGCTGATGCACCTTTAAGAATCATCAGATTAAAGGAGTGTGAACTTAGGGCCGAAATTAGCCTCCATTAACTAGGGTTTTGATTTTGTACAAAACAAAATGTCTTCAACACTACCTTTGTTTTGTTTTACTGTATGAGTTGAGTAGATAAATTTCAAGTACAACTCAAATTTCGTATTATCTATAGTTAGAAATTAGGAAATAGCAGTGGTTGTCCAGGGTTGTGGAAGTTCAAACTAGAAGGCAATAACACTTGACTGAGTTTGTGTTAGTGTGCAAATTTTCAGCTATTGAGTTGAAAGACAAGTACGACCATTGCTTTGGAGAAAGAGTTTGACCGACTCAACTAAAGACTTCACACTTTCTAGGCTAAAATTTAAAAGTCACGAAACCAATGCACATATGATCCTTTGTTCTTTGAATGTCATATACATCGACATTATGGGACAGGATTTGGCTACAAAATCCATTTTACGGATTACCTTACGTCTTTGCAGACTAAAGCTATGACAAACAGGATAGAGGTTTCAAGCAGTGGTTAAGGTTCAAGCGTTATTCTAAAGCAGTTGGACAGAAGAAATTCTTGAAATAAATGTTCGGCATGGTTATACAATTGGCATGAAGTGTTATTCATCCCGCACTATATACAGCTGCCGACTGGAAGCAATACGACAATACTGATTCTACACGGCAGAATGAAATAACTCAAGGAGCAGTTGGAAGGTGAAAGATGGTTAGACGTGGATTCATTATAGTCTGAAAGTACAAGTAAGGCAGTAATAAAAAAATACTATTAACACAGGCTCAGATTTGTCATAACCTTGAATAATCCCTGGAGCTTTTTATTTCTGTGGATTGATTATCAACACAGGTAATGCAAAGGCAGAAATACCAACACTTATTTATTTGCAACAATTAGTTACCTTTATAAACTTGAACAAAACAGTAAGAAGATGTAGATTGACTAGACTGTGTAATGTATTTCCTCAAAACATTTTGAACATTCCAGTCGCGCACGCACTTGTGATGGATATTTCTATATGATAATTCATAGAGAGATAAGGAGTGATAGGTCAAGTAGGAAGGGTAAATTAAAGATCGAAATGTCAATGAAAATCAGTGGCGCGAAAATAATCGTACATCGAACCTGGTTTCAGAGTTGAGTTCACCAAGGGACGTCTAATGTGATAACAAAATATTTTTGAACACAGAAAGGTGGCTTAAACTTTCTAATAGCTGAAGCCTTGACAAATTTAAGGATCCATCCTCAACGAGTTTTGTAAATACTTCTAGAGGAAGTGGCCAAGTGAATCCTGTGACCTGCCTCAACCATATGCTCTTCAATGGAAGAAAGTGGAAGTGCTCTACTAACTTTTATGAGTTCAGGTGGTTTGATCAGCTTCTGGAGCCGATTTGGAATATTTTTCGAGACCCATACATATAAGGATCCATGAATCCTCCCTATCTGTGTATGGCCACACGTACATTTGAATTAATAGATGTAATGGTGTGTTGCAATGTTGTTCACATGCTGTAAGACTTTGGAGAGGAATATAAGCTTGGTGGTTTCTACTAGTCAGGTCCAAGCTGCATAGTAGGTCCTTCTAACAGCAGCGTTGAGTCTCTGCTTAAGGATTGGGGTATGACAGTCACCTTTGTACGGAGAACTTATGGAGAAATTTTTGTTCAAGACAAAGTGAAGAGTAGGTTTTGGTGCTCGAGATAATTTTAGCCGACTAATAAATCCTAATGGAAAGTTATTTTTCAACAGTGTTACGGTCACTATTCATATTTTATCTTACAAAATATCATCTATACATATTCGATGAATTTTATTCAATAACAACCTAAGTAACACTCACTTTTATTGAATTGGAAAAAGCTGTTGTGATTGAAATATTGTCATGTTTATGTGGGTTTCATTTAAACAGATTGTTTTAGAGGTACATCTTGCCGTCAACTTTTTAGTTTACATGCGAAGGACAAGCATGTACCTTCCGTTTCTACACATGTCAAGGATACACTGTTCTGTGCTTCATTCCCTCGGCTTAGAGTTTAAATGAAATGACTTGAATTATCACACATAGCTAGGATATCACTGACTTGTCTTCGACATAGATGTACTTTCTGGTCTACTTTCTGCTTTAAGTTTTCCATGTAGGACATGTTTATGCTTACTAAAAGAGAACTTAAGGGAATTCCTGTGATGACACCACCAGTCTGACGGAAATGTTCACCACCGAATGTAATATAATGTTACTTCTACACAAGAGTAGTGGCTCTTTCAAGTTATGCAAAGAAGTAGGTATTGGAAATATAATCAACTAAAATATCAATTGTCTTAGCGAAAGGGATGTTATTGAATAAGGAGTTTACATCAAATGAAAGAAAGTTTTCCCTTTTTAATGTTGACTTCACATCTAGGCATCTGATTACTTCAACGTGTCTTTTAATGAATACTTACAGAATTCTTCCTTAATCGGATCCAATAATTACTTATTTGCATGACCTTGAGTCTCTGTTCACATGGCAAACCTACCTTCTAATAGGAAGACACGAAGTTCAGCAAATACATTCTCTTCTGTGATTGAATGCTGTACACTTAAACATCTGTGAATTGTACCCGTGTCTGTTGATGTTTGATTGACAGCCGAAGATGATGGTCTCTTGACAGACTAACAATATCCTTAAGATAGGAAGCAGAAACATTTACATGAAGCAATGCCCAGTAAGTTTATCAGGACACGCTTACTCTCAAACAACTTTCAAATTCTAAAGGGACGTTCGACCCAGACTTAAAGACTTTACAAATCACAGATACTATACTTTGGTGTACAGATTCCAGTTGAAAATGTTATGATTCTTGCTGCTGAACAAAGTACCTACGGTAGAGTTGAATTCAAATATCAGCAATTTTAAGCTTGTTGTAAAACATCAAGTGTCTTGACAGATGAGAAGTAATCATAG